AGCTCTCTCCTCCTATAATTCCCTTTCTGACATAGTAACATCTCAACCAGTGCGGGTCCTGCCGCATCCTTGGAGACTATGCTTTCTTGCTGGACCTCTGGCTGGTATGACTTTCCCTTTTCAAAAACTTTCAAATAAATCATGATTTCTTTTTAGCAAAAATGGTACAACATCTCCACGCTTTTCTGTACACCATAGCTGTCATATTGCAATCATCTGGAGTAGACGCTCGATTGAGGTCCCTTTGTTTCAAAGCTTGGACAATCCAGCTGACTGCTCACGAACAGGTGTGAAGTACATCGTTTTGTGAGGAACATGCGCGTGTTCCAAACATTTTCCATTTTAGGAACTTCTCATACTGACCTGCAACATTTTGGGGACAGTAGGTGGAGTTTTATCGGAGCCGTCCATATCTGAAAACTGGGTTACGGATTCTGCTGATCGTTCAGTGGCTCAGAGAACAAGTGACAGAGTGGATGTCAAGGTTAATATTTTTCAAATTTTTTCGAGCTTTTCGTCGGGCGTCAAGCGCATATTTTGAGATTAACTGAGACCAAGGTTTTGTGCTGCAGGAAACACGCGACGTTACGAGCCATGCCCGTATAGAAGCTAGTTCTCGACAAGCTATGGTTGTCTGTCTAACCGACGGCAGTCCAGAAACGTTTTGGGAGAGTGGAGAGGAGGTAAAAACCTAAATTGACAAAGTAGACAGCCAAGGAGATCTTCATTTTCAGGATAAAAGCCGGTCTCGCACCTTGAATGTGACTTTTGAGAACTGTACACCTGTGCTTCTGTGTCTGTTCATTGATAACTCTCGCGACGAGGCTTGCAGAACATCGCAAATATCATTTCGGGCAGCTTTGTCTGATGGTTCACGGAAAGACCTGCTGTCAAAGAATTTAGATCAAGTCAGATATAATTTTTGCCGACATCGCTGTTATGACCTGTGTTACTTTTAGAATTTCTGTGGATGGGTTAAATGTTGTGTAGCCAGCGTTACTCATGTCAACATCTCCCTGAAAGGTCCTCACAATGCATCACGGGTCCGTCAGGTGAGTACC